AAAAATAATAAATATATAAAATCAACCAAACCAAACATATCTCCTATCATATAAGCTCATAGCGCTCCACGTCAAAATCACAATTTTCAGTAAGTAATAGGTGAGAAAGAATTGCCAGTTCCATGCATGCCTTGAGAAAGGAGCGCGAATTATACATGGCAGAAGCATGAAACTTGATGTCTTCTACTGAGTACACTCCCCACAGCAAAACCACTAGTATTTCCAAAAACTATAAATTTTCAATTTAATTTTATTTTTATTGTTCTTATAGAAGTATTAGAACTCGGCAATGCTATATGTATAATACGTCCAAGTATAATGATTTTATATTATGATATGAATACTAAATAAATGAATATATGTCAATTCATGCCCAACTCACTATTTGCAAATTACTAATTTTTTTTAGAACATTTAACATAATAGTTGTGAGGATATAGTTACCATTAATTGATTATTATTATTATTATTTTCTATTTTGAGTATAAGCCATTACATAAGTACACATACAAATATCACAACTTAAATATACTACATAAAATTAAAAAAGCATTGGAGAAAACGTACATTCAAGGAGCTCAAATCAACATGTTAGAATTTACTTAATTAATTAATCTCACAAATTAGATTCTAAAACACTAAATCATTCAAATCAGTAATATATGTAATACACAAAATCAATAAATAAATAAATTATGTACCTAAATCTCCATAATTAATATATTACCTAAGAATCTTCAAGGATCTTTAAGAATCATCACAATTAAGGATCTCATGACAAAACCTACGAAAACAAATATAGTTAATATTTGAGATTTAGGTCTTCCTCTCCCTAATCATCTTCTGTGTAGTGACAACCAATAAGTCATGCCACTCCTTAACTCTCTTATTTATAAAGGTAGGGTTTTCTGAATAGAAGAGGTGATTTATCCTATTAAAAGAATCTTTTGGACACCATCAAGTAGCCCACCTTTAATTAGGCCCTACACATATTCATATCACACCATATAAAAGTATGATAAAACCTAGACCCACTAGGATTACATTACTTTATTGGCTTTATCGATTTTCCATTTAACCTAATTTTGAAAACTAAATATAATTAGCAGCAACCCATATAAAAATTCCCAACATTCTCCCACTTCGGCAATGCTAATTAGTTTAAATTTTAAAAATATATTTTTTTAAAAAATGACTCTTGGGTCAAACACAACTTTAGTGACTACAAATATGAATCAAAATCTCAATGTTCAATGAAAATACCAATACCAAATTGTGTGGTCATTATGTCACTAATAACATAAGACCCTTTACAATCACAAGTATCAAATATCTTCACCAACATTAATTCCAATAGATGTGATAAAGTGCAATGTGGTTTGACACAACGTGATCCATACAATATATAACATGTCAAAACCACAACGGTCCTCTTTATGGTTTCAAAAAAACCATTTTATCAAGATGTAATCTGTTTTATACTTAGAGAAGCCTTTACACTTTATTATGGTTTCATAGAAATTTAAGAGATAATCTCCCTCACTTTTCTAGAATAATCTTTACACTTCAAAAGAAGTCTGTACACTTCCAACGAAGCCTTTATACTTTATACCTCAAGGTCTCAAGATCAATATCTGTATGAGCTCATAAAAATCATCAATACAATGCACATGCATCATTATAAAACAATAAGTGATACAATAAGTAAAATAAAACTTATTATTAATAGAGAAATTAACTTCTCTCATTGATCAAGAATATCTAAAATAATTCTCACAAATAACTAACAAAATTATAATCTCTTAATCAGTAAATTAATTAACATAGTTACAATAATGCATGACCATAATCATTATTCATAATTTTACCTTCATGTCACTCTTACTTTAGATCAACAATTACCTTGGATATATCTTTTCCACCAAGTTCTCAGTAAGTTATTTATATAGATAACTAACACCATCAAATATAAAATATTCTAATGGAAACAATCCTCCATTATCCATTACTCAAAATATAACACGATCTTTAAACTTTAATCAAACACAAAAATACAATAGTGACAAGATTTTATCAACTTTAACAAAGGTAATTGCATCTTTTACAATAATTATTTTCCATATAATTCATAACACATGTGTCTAGAGGTTTCTCCATTCAACCAACCAACTTTCTCATATCTATAATCTTATCATTATACATTGAATAATTGAGAGTAATAAACTGTTTAACTCCCACTAATCTTCTAGACACATTATTCTATCATAACTTTTAAATATCTTCTAATCAAAGAAGGTTATTTTCTTAAATACTAACAGGCATTTCACAAAATCTTAAATTTTGCATTACTCTCATCATAATTACTAATACCTTCCTTTTACCATTTTTCTAGTTGAACAACAAAATAGTAATCTTGTACAATTCAAATCCATCATGCTAAGAAACATGTATCCCTAAACTTAATCAAAACTTATGTAATTAAAACTTATGCAATCAAAATACGAATCATTTAAGAGATACATAAATTAATTCCAATCACACATTGGCAATATAATTTTAATAATAAAACTTTGTTTCCATAAAAGGGCCTTATAATATACTTTAATCCATAGCATGATTCACTTTGACTCACAAGAGTTTAAGACACAACTATACTTTACTTTATTTGCACTTTATGTTGATTAAATAAGTCTATAAAATTGAACCTTAACAAGTCAATTACTCTTTAAACCTTAACTTCTTTTAGTCAATATGTACAATCACTCCCGTTGGGCATGTAATTATACACATTAATTTCAAGAAGCAAACATTCCAAAATACTTATTGAGAAATATACGAATTTAATAGATAGCCCATTTTGACAGTACCACCCAAGTCAATTCATATACTCCCATTAGAACATATACATATACATAATATAACATTCCAGAATCCTTACTGGGAAACATGTGAATCTTAATAAATGATCTACTTTAGTAATACCATTTACATCAACTCATAAGCTCCCACTAGAACAATTACCTATAAAAATTATAACATTCTAGAATCCTTATTGAAAGATTAACCAATCTTCTATTGGAACAAAATTTCCTGATATACCAAAAAATCTTAAGTCACAGAAATGATTAGTCCTAATAAACAAACTCTTGATGTTCATATGAATCATAAAACATTATTAAGACAATCATCTATATATATTTGGTTTTATAATCCCTCTCAACCAACGTTTTAAAAATCGGACCGAATCGGTCGGTTGAATCAATCGAACTGACACCCAATATTAAAAATGGTTCGAATCAACATTTAAAACAGGTAGAGTGGTTGAACTGCTCAAAACCAGTAAAACCGTTTGAACTGGTACAAACTGAAAAATCATTCAACCAGACGGTCTAAATCCTTTTGAGGATTTACCTTAAATTTGCTACCCGGAGGCTTGAACACATGACTTCAAGAAGATTTTTTGTGACTTTCGCCACTAGGACGTTACCTCTTTGATTGAAATGATTTGCTAACAATTTTATTTATTTTATTTCTGAAAATAATTTTATTTATTTTATAAAAAATTATAAAAATTATATTCAC